TTATTTACAATAGGGCTTGTAAGTAGGTCACCATCTCCTTATCATACTAGCCAGCTAGTATTTTTCAAACCAATTGTGAATTTGTTTATTAAATCGGTAAATAAAGAAATAAAAGTTACTTACGCTATTGTTAAGTTATTTAAAATCGTAAAAACTGATAATGATAGTTTTAGAATTCACCTGACCCTGGATAACCAGATTTCAGATTTTAAGTAAGAGAAGCAAAGAGACTTACAAGCCTTATAGAGTTACATGACTAAAAACCATTGCGCGCCTATTGAACGTGATGACGCACTATTGAACGTGATGACGCGTGCGGAGTAGTTGGATAGAACTACCTACAAATTTGGTCAAAATTTTAATTAATTCATAAAAAATTAATTAGGCATCCAATTAAGTCAAATTTAATGTCATGTTGCATTGTCTTCATGTCTTGACCCACGCTCCAACTACGAACCGTATCTGTCAGTTAGAAGTGCCAGTAATTTTGCTCGGGCGTTTCGATCTAAAGACAGATAGACTGACGACGACTGACGACAGAAGAAGTGAATTAAATAAAATTGTTTTTTTTTGTTTTTTTTAAGCTTTATTTTCAAATTGAAATATATACATCAACATATACAAATGTGTGTGTGTGCTTAGTATTTAACATAATTCAAACATTAATAAAAATTATCATTACATGAACAATAATAATCATTAAAAAAGTTTTAAAAAACCCACGTTTTCTGATTGAACTAAAAAGTAGAAAATAAATGCTATACATCACAATAATGCAAGCGATCACTCTACTATAAGCGATGAAAAACGTGGGGCGCCGTGATTTTCTTACAGTTTCTAATACTGTTGACTCTCTACAAGCTCCCTAATAAAAGTCAATAGTATTATCTAATCAATAGTAATATAACTTTTACTTCGGCGCCCCACGTTTTTGATCGCTTATAGTAGAGTGATCGCTTGCATTATTGTGATGTATAGCATTTATTTTCTACTTTTTAGTTCAATCAGAAAACGTGGGTTTTTTAAAACTTTTTTAATGATTATTATTTTCTACTTTTTAGTCTTTGTCTGTTTGTTTGCATTAAAATCTTGCTATCGATTTTATCTTTTCACTTTTTTTTTTTGGTAAAAGAAGACAAATACTCACAAAGGACGAACACCAAGAGTTACACCAGGCATGACACGCCCTCGCGAGTAAACCATTGACCATCACCATTCTACTTCCTTTGTAAACAAACACCGCGTGACCACTACTGAGCCAATCGCGTGCTTGCTCCTTCAGTAAGCCAGAAGAGGGAAAGTACTGTTGTAACCCCGGTGTGTTTGTGTATTGTTATCCCAAAGTCGAATGCGGTATAAAAGGTTGAGTGAATGATTGTCAGAGGTTAGTTGATAGCGGTTAGGACGAGGGCTGGTCTGTTGTGTGTAAAGAATTAAGACGGAAAGAGGTTAGTAAGACAACTCGTAAAAAGACAACTCGTAATAAAAAACAGAGAAAGCAAGTTAAAGAAAACGTGGGAAAAAAACACGTTGTGTGAATACGTTACTGACTAGAACACATAGATTTGAACCCGTGTCGAGTGGGATAGCAATCGTGTGCCCAACCACTCGACCATATCGTCTCCCCCAAACTGGCCTACCTCCTGTAAGTTTAAACTCGGTTCAAGCTAAATTCTCTGCCCCTAAGCCTGTGGCGACATGTGATCGTTCGCTTCACTGCGCGCGAGGTACGCGTCGCTGGTTTTTTTTCTAATGGCTAGCAGAGGAGAATTATATATATAGATTATATAGCGGTCTAAAATGCTCAATAAAATGTTTCCATTGATCAATTTAGTAATAATAACAATTGAATATTCAATGGTCATCCAAAAGAAAGCTTCCCTGAAAATTTCAGCGCGCTAGCTAACTGGGAAGTGCCAGAAATTTCGATCGCAAGATTTGATTGGAAAGACAAACAAACACACAAACAGAGAAAGCAAGTTAAAGAAAACGTGGGAAAAATATGAACATTACTAAAAAAGATCAACAATTCAAATGAAGATAATTAGCAATAAAGAAATAAAAACAATAAAAACTTGTTTTTTTTTTACCATGAATATTTTTACAATGTAAACAGCGTGAGAAATTAATAGAAAATATTAACAATATGTAAATAAAAGATAGAAAGCGAAATACAGAGATGCATAGTGGATTCTCAGTGCCAGCGTTAGGGGGTGGCAACGGGGCGGCCGCCCCAGGCCCCGCGCTTGAAGGGGCCCCGCGCTTCAGCACCGCCATTGTTGTCTGAATTAGTTTGTAAATTTAAATAATCTTTGCTGTATTGAATTTGAAAAAAAAAATGGCTGAAATTGTTGATTGTTATAAACTGAGGCCAAGGCTGATGTTAGTGAGTTATCCCCTACATGACCTGGGACAGACCGTCATTCTATACGAAGACATTAGTGTCACACCTCGCTTAGTGTCGACTCGCTTTTGACCTGAGGTGACTGGTGATGGCGGTTGCGAATTAGCCCCCGACCTGACATGGGAAGTAAAATCAGGAAAACACGTAATGAGATACCCCATTGTATTCTGACCGATGAAGTGAAAATGATTCTGACGAAAAAAAGTAATTCCCAATGATCGTAAAAGATATATACGATCCGGGTAATTGGGAACATGTATCAACGATGTCCCAAGACAGGTTATGCGGCCTGTCGATTCTGTCAATAGAAAAAGACATTGCCTCCAATTTGGACTATGATGATATAATCAAGGAATTTTCCTCACGAAAGGCAAAAAAAGTAGATCTTCGTTTGTGAACGTACTAGTAAGATTTACATAAATAAACATTAATGTAAAAAAATCAAGTTTGAAGCCGAAGTTCATCGTCTCTTTAATGCGTGTCTCTAACTTATATCTGTTTTATTTTTTTTATTTTTCAAACAAAAAGCTTTAACAGAAACAAGCAACGTTTCAAAAGCACTTCTAAGTGAACACATTATTTGTTAATCAGTGTCTTAATGACATTGATAAGCAGCTTAAAAATACCATATATATCGTTATAAATATTAATTCGCGTTGAGAAGAAAAAAAACCGCCTCACTGTACATGTTTTAGACACCAATGGAAAAATATAAGGCCCCGCGCGGATGGTTAGCCCCAGGCCCCGCGTACCCCTAACGCCGGCTCTGTGGATTCTAATTGGATACCAAATGGGTTGAGGTTGGTGTTATCTTTTGTTTTTTGGAAAGAAAATTATTCCCCTTTAGGCCAAACTTAGCGGCGGCGGCAAGCCGTGTTCTACTTACTACGACACAAAAGACATGTGACACTGCAAAATGTTTGTAATAATATGACTGGTGACTTTTAGTTTCTGTATAATAACGTTAATAAGTATAAATATTTAAAGTATCATAAGTAGAATTTGAATTATCACTGTATTTTTTAACATAATTTTGTTTCGAAAAAAAAAATACTTTTTATTTTACTAATTTTAGCTCATTGTTTTAATTTTCAAATAGTATTTTATTAAAACTATTTTAGCTGTTTGATCCTAGGGGAGGCAAATTATTTTTAAAATTATTAATTTCAAAAACAGAAAGTAAAATCATGGTTACCTCCCTTATGCCACAATTCGAATTTACCTATAACAAAAAAAATACTATGTAACTTTTTTAAAATAACAAAATGGAAACAACATCTCACACTTTTAAGTCTACTTTGTACTCAATTAAAATATTTTAAAACAAATTACGACCAATGGCCTTGCGAGTCTCCATGGCAACTGTATATCTGTATCTGGCATGTGTGAAATTAAAACTCCGCTTCATTCGATTTAAATTTTTTTTTTAAATTATGGTGGAGTTTACAGCCACTTAACATCCTTTTAATTTTCATAACTATTGCTTATTTTTCTCATGATTGAGGTTCATTTTTTAAAAGTAAAATTGAAGTTTATTTATTCTGTGTGGTGGGTGGGAGACGAATATAAGTTCTTTCGCTGTCTGACCCGTAAATGTCAGAGTTCTTTCCCTTATTGTGGTGTAGTCCTATTTTCAAGTGGAACAATTCGTACTTTTGAAATCACAAAATAAAATTGTCGTTCGTTTTATTAAGAAAAAAAACGGATTTAACATGTGTTGTTTTATAGATGGAAACAGGGTGGCGGATTAAGAGGTGGGCTGAGTAGGTTTTAGGTCAAGGATCTCCAAAGTCTGGGCCCAAAAATGTTGATACATAATAATACATTAGCAGTTAACGTGATATATAGATACAATTACTTTTTTTTTTGCTGTTTAGCTTGGTTAAGCTCAATTCTTTCAAACTACGGATTATTTTGTTGACCTATATGTAGTGACTGAGCTAGCGTATATTTCGCATCGGTTTTATTCACCTTGTAGCCGAGAACTTTACTCCGACATATTTCTGTACAAAGCTTCAGTATCGTTCTACATAATTTGTCCTACCCGACAATAGTCCTGCTAAATAAAATTATCTTTTTGGACTTATTTCTGGTCATTATATTTGTCCGAGAGGACATACCTCAATCCACAATATAATTGTCCTTAAGGACAGTCAGTAGTCCTGTTCAATACTAGTGTCCCCACTGTCCGTCAATAGCTCTGGTACTACGTGTAACAAATTTTAAAAATAGTCCATAATATTTTAGCAACAGTCCCAGTATTAGACCGGTATTAGAAAGGTAACGCTCTAAAATTATCATTTTTAAAAGCACACACATCGATGTGATCTCATCACGAATTCACTATTAAACCAACTATTATAGTCTTAATTTTTTGTGTGAACTTTAACACACATTCAACACAAAGACACAAGTTAACTTCCCTTTGTAAGGGGAAGTAAATCCTGTTACTGTTGACTTATTTTCTGATTACTCCATAAACTCATTATATTTTGTCTCTTAACAATGCTTAAAACTATAAATCCTTGTGTATTCTTTTTTTTACATTAGATGATGTACATACATTAAGACAATTTATTTCCTTGTTGTTTTTTAGCGGAAAATGACGGATTTCCGATGGCGGCGACAGCAGAGGAGATCCGCGATTTCGACAAGTCTCTGTTTCAAGGGAGGCAAGCTAAGCCCAAAAAACCTTGGGGGAGGTCACTCTCCGATGCTGCCTCATTCAAGCAGTTTCGTCGACTTCCGGGTGAGTGTCAAAAGGTTACATAACAGTTAAAGTTAAAGTAGTATTTTATTATTGTTTAAACCACAAGCAACTGTTAAGGAGTTAGCAGTTTAAAAATGGAGGGCGAGAATTTATCAGGTAGTAGTGTAATCTATGTGTGTGCAGCGTCGCTTTTGTGTGTCTTGCATGTGTTAAAATACATCGTATTATCCTACTAAAGCAATAAAATTCTGCGCATAATTTGTTTACAAAGCATTTCAAAACAAGGTTAAGCTTAGGATAACGATAAAGTGAGATTTCGTCCAAATCTTAGAAAAAATAATTCTCACTTAATTGTTTTTCTTTAATGTAAACGCCTTTATTATATTTACATAAATAAAAAAAATATGCTTAAAAAGTACAAAATAAATTTAATTAGACTACATATTGCACATTTTACTTAATTTTGTCCAGATTTATTTTTTAAATTCTAACTCTTTCTTCGAGATAAGTAAAACCTTGAGCTCTCACTTATGGAGAATATATTCCCTTTCATAGGGAGTTTATTGATAGTGTACGTTCTATACCATAATACAAGACGTAGGTTCAATTTTGAGCATTTTTACACTCATTGTTTTTCACAATTGATCCTTAAAATAACCAAAGAGATTTTTTTTAACTATCAAAATTACTCATTGATCAAGTCTAAGACTGTGTTAGTGTGTCTGTGTATATCCGCTTAAGTGTATGTGCCTACGCATGCGCATACGTGTGTTTGGGCGTTGATAGCTGTTTTAGGCAATAAAAAAGTTTTAGCTTATTAAATCATTTTTAAATACACTATATTGTGACTATATATATATATATATATATATATATATATATATATATATATATATATATATATATATATATATATATATATATATATATATATATATATATATATATATATAACCTATAACCTCTTATTCTTGTCAGACTAAACAATAAGCTGATTTGGATTTTAAATATGAATTAGCTAAAACAACGCATACATAGCAAGTTTTTTTTTCATTTCTAAACTTTTAAAATCTCGATTTTGTTCCTTTCTTAAAACGTTGGGTACTGTGTTCGTTAATTGGATTGTTATTTCCTCTAAAAAAACAATTTATTCTTCAGATTTTTTTCTTCACTTTTTTAAATGTTGCACTAACCAAAAGTCGACAAAGTTTATTCTTGGCCGATAAATATTTATCCCCCTTCCCCCAACCCCTACCTATTCCTCAGCCTACAGAGGCAGCAGTGCTTTAAGTCCTATGTAAGGCAAATCAAGTCCTTTGCCCGCATCTGTGTTTTATTTCGTTTATTTAAACGTTCACTTTTTATCTTTTGAAATCAACATGGCTGGTTAACTTTAGGCGTGCGGTTAACTTTTGAATTCCTACAGCTGGTTAACTTTCGCGTGCTAGGAGTTAGGGTTCCTGATCTTAAAGTGGAACCCAATAGAAAACTAGAATCGTTTTTTATTTGTTGTGTTTGTGTTTGCCTTTCACGTGTAATTTACAGCGTCAGTTTGCCTTGCCATGTTCGCTTTAGTATTACCATGTTCATAATCAGCTTGTGAGGACTGATACAGATTTACAATAGTAATTCTTCTTTCTGACAATTAGGAAGTCATGTTATTGAAGTTCCTAGTCTAAAAATGAATAGGGAGGGGTATTATACACATATATATTATATATACGTATATATATATATATATATATATATATATATATATATATGAACAGTACATCATTACACTCTGTCATTCATCTACCTCTCCCATGTCATTCCCCCTCCCACTCGGCTGTTACTCAACTTTTATTACACTACTGAGTAATGTCCCCTGCAAAAACGTTGCAGTATGGCTTTACCTTTTGTTGATTACAAACGCACGCTAATCCTAACACAAAACCTGACCCTAACCGTGAAATAATGTAAATGTTAGGGTTCGTTCTTGGGCTCGGGTTAGAATTAAGGTCAGCGTTACGGGTAAATTAGAGTTAAGAAATACTCTTAATCGAATAATTCAATTCAAACGCTAGTAAGCAAAGTACGAAATGCAATTGAATTCCATAATCTGACGCCCATTTTAAACATTCTATACAATACCGTATCTCTCCATCCCTCTATATCTTGATCGATAATCTTGATGGTGGAGGGAGGTAATTACCATGGGGGTAAACTATCTGTGAGGTAACTGATCTAGGGGTAATGTCCAAGATGCATATTACCTATAGCCTACATCTTATATACTAGTAGTAAAATATATCTATACTTTCACTGCTAAGCACGCATGAAGAATAGGAAGCGCCATACTGTAAAAGTCTAAACTAAAAACATATGTGCAATATATACAACAATGCTTTTGGCTTAAAAACGATACATGATACATAACTAGATCAAACTGTAATCACTCTGATATCATATGATTATTTGAACTTCCTTCTATGAAGGTCAAGGTAAGGGATTTAAGTTCCTGAACACCTTTAATAAAATACAATTTGGAAAAAAAATCGATAGGATCAATACAAAGTAACGATTTCAAAAAACCTCAGTGACTTAAATAAATCGGTGAGATCAATCAATCAATTGAATCTACAGTTCAATAAAAGAGAATCGAACGGAACAGGAAGAGAAAAGCGTCAGTAGTGATCAGCCATTGAAATCTTTGTAGATACACTCTCTCGGCTAGGTACAGAGTTCAAAGGTTCAAAGTTCAATTAAGTGTAGCCTTTTCAATGCTTATCATTTCTTACCCCATTTCTATTACTATTACATCTGTCCTGTTACCATTAGCCCTGTTAAAATTATATGTGCCCTAATACTACTTTCTCCGCCCTCTTACCATTACATCTGCCATCTTACCATTACCTCTCCCCTGTTACCATTACCTCTGCCCTGTACCATTAAACCGGCTCTGTTACAACTACATCTACCCTGTTACCGTTATTCCTGCCATTGAAAGCGAGGTTTCTATCAGGTTAGTTAAGAAAACATTTTTTTTTTTAAATTCAGTATCTGAAAGGGAGGTAGCCTGCTGTTCCAATATCCATTCTTACAGTATGGTGTAAAATATAGCGAAGGTATGGAGGTGGGTGGGGGAGAAGATGGAGGGGGGGGGGTTCCTGCCAACGGTTTTAATGAAAATAAAATTGTATATATATATATATATATATATATATATATATATATATATATATATATATATATATACAATTTTATTTTCATTAGGTTCTGTAAAATGTTAGACGAGTATATAGCGTGCGCTCCCCAGTTTCTATTTTTGATACTAGTGTGTTCTACCCTTCAGTGAGTAACAGCGTGTTGAGTGTGTAATGTTTTAAGTAGGGCTACCAGGGCTACACATATTTTGACCTTTAGAATTTGGTATCTAAAAATAACACGAACCCTAGAGGTGTAGACTTAGTAGGTCAAGTATTTCATTAAAATTCAGTCATTTTAAAACCCTACAAAACTGGAACTCTTTCTAAACGTAATTTTAATTAATAAAATAAACGTCAGATTCGGGACAGACAGAATATCCCCTACCCCCCAACCCCCCAACTCCCAAAACTTCTAAGATAAAGGGACAAAATTTCCAACACCCCCCCTACTCGCTATTTGAAAACTGTAAAACTGTCCTCCACGCCCCCCATGATTGGGTGACGTAATTCCCAGACTGGTCTGTGATCGTTGCATGGAGTCAGATCGTCACGTGACCCTACCGACCCGTGTAAAGGTTAATTAATTCAGCACTCAGTGGACGAGTCGTAGTGCAATACAGCGGTTGACAATTTTTATAAACCATTTTTTTCACTACAACCACAAACACGCAAAGACACACATACACACCCCCCCACACACACATACATATATATATATATATATATATATATATATATATATATATATATATATATATATATATATATATATATATATAATGTATTTATAAAAGCTCCATAATGAATGTATGACGGCTAACCCGAGAATCTTTTGAGATGGTAACTTAAACAGTATCTAGCACTTTGGAGTGTGTGTAGACCATTTAACAAAGTTTATCTTAAACATTTATTCCCCAAATTTCTTGTCATGTTAGCTTATATTCAATTTGTTTAGCAATTATTTGCATTTAGCATACTGTTTGCTAAATTTCTTTTTTCTAATTGTTTTAATAAGTAATTATTATAGTTATTTCCCCTTACAAAAAAATCTTTTCTCAACCGTTTTCCAGCAAATTTTAAAATTTTCTTTTAATTACACATGAGATGAGGAGGGCGGGGTTGTATTACAAGTCACGTGATAGGGGTAACCATATTTCTGCGTTAGCTATTGTTCTAAGATTTGATCTTTTAATTTCCTTAAGTTCCGTCTTGAAGATAAACATAAATTATTATTTTTTATATTTATGTTTTGCGTATGTGAGTGCATGGGTGAGGAATTAGAAAAACATGTGCAGAGAAAATAAAATGACTGTATCAACAAGAGCTGAACGGTGTTAAAACAGGTTAGATAACTCTCACGTTAAAACAGGTTAGATAACTCTCACGTTAAAACAGGTTAGATAACTCTCACGTTAAAACAGGTTAGATAACTCTCACAGAATCCTGTGGAGTTGTTAGAGCTATGTTTCATAATGTCTTTTTGCGGCATTTTTTCGGTAATAATGTAGAGAATACATTTTTTAGTGTGATGGATTGGTTGTTTTTTTGTTGTTTTTTTTAACTTTACACAACTGTCAACACATTTATAATTTTAAATGAAGTTATAATTTTTTGTGAGGTCGTATGAATTAGTCGACATTTAAAATTTTGGGAAAAGTTTTCTTAAATCAACTTACGACACTAATTTAATCAGCCGCTGATATTTTTTTAGTGAGTGGGGGTGGGGGTGGGTTAATATTGACGGGTTGGAGTGTGGATGGGGTAGAGGAGGGGAGGGTTAATATTGAGGGGTGGGAGCATGGATGGGGGGGGGGGGGTTGGAGGGGAGGTTGTGTGAGGAAGGATAAATAT